AACCTGAATGTCTGGGCTGCTTGAAAGGTCATGGGAATTGAAGCTGATGGTTAATTCAAGAGGAATATACTTAATTCCTTTGAATACAAAATCACCGCAGAACTGAGATAAAAAGTTACCCTTGTAACTTTTCCTAAATAATTTTCTATAATAGGTCTCTTTTACATCTTGATTATAAGAGCAGAGTAAAAAAATTGAAGTTTTTAATTAGCTGATAGTTCAGAGGAAAAGTTTCATTTTCACATTTACATTCATTCTGATTAATGCCACTCACTGACAGAGCAAAACATATTCCAAAATCTGATATGCTCTCTCTGTGAATTAATATGCCATATTACATATTTTTAAAAATATCTGAGATTAGTATTTTCACTTTTTCTGTAAAAATGTATTGTTGAAATAGTGAAATAATTATTAATTGTGGTTTTCAGCATTAGATAATGTGTGACCCTTATTCTGGTCACGGGAAATATTTGTTCATTGTGATGTTACTATTGGAATATTTTCATCCAAAAGAAATACCAATCTTTCAACACCCATTAAAGTGAGTGCTACTAATTCTGGCACCTTCCTTTGGGAGGTTTTAAAGGTGGTTTTGGTGAACTGGGAGGGAGTTATGACTTGTTTTGAACAGAGTCAGGATCACATTTCTTATTTGAGAGCAACTGCTGGCCTTGGAAAGGCTTTGACCCCTCTGTGGCTCTGCCAACATCTCAGTCCCCTTGAATTGTTGCTAAACCCAGGGCTCTCCTGCAGTGCTCCAAAATCAAATGAATGTTTATTATTGATGATTCCTGTAAATGAATTTTGGTCCTGTTTCTTTTTCTCTGCAGAGAGGCTGGGCTTCCACTGTTCTCAGTTACTTCCCGGGCCATGAGCCTGAACAGGACCATAACAATCCTACTTCCTTTGTTTTCTAGGAACATGGAAATACCACTGGGAAAGCAGAAATGTCCTTAGCTCTGAGTTTTGCATTTTGCTACACATTTTAGCAGGCTCTGCTATAAGGAACTGTCAACAGTAAATGTACAGCACTGCAGCCAAGGCAGCCTCTGCAGAGCTTCCTGCCAGAAAACCTTATTTCTTTGAGGAGACATCATTCCTCTTCCAGCAGAGATGATGTCATCAGGGTAAAAAAGGGGTATTTTATGCACTGGGTCATTTTTTCCCTCATAATGGGGCACTATGTGACCCATAACTGGAAGAAAGTTGGTCACGATTTAAGAGATGACATAGTGTATATCCAGTGTGCAGACCGTATGTTGTGTTCAGTTCATGTCCTCTAATTCAGCTGTCTCCACAGGTAGAAGCCTGGTGCCAAATTAGCCACTGTCATCTCCACGTGGCTGAACCCAACTCAGAAGAAAATAAATGTTTACATCTTAGCTGAATCCTTTCAGCTTCCTTCACTTTCTCAGTTTAAGACATATGGATTTGTGGCAGTGATGGGGGACTAGACATTGTGTAAAGCACTGGATTATGCTAATAAATTCATGTTTTATATCTGCAAAAGAATTAATATTGATAAGCATATGCTTATGAGTTTTGTATTCAGCAGAACCTTCCAGCCATATACCTATGTGCCAGCTCTTTGCAAAATCAGAGATCTAGCAGTTTACACAAACATTGTAGAAGCTGTAAATAGACATTATTTAAATTTAATTTAGCGGGAAAATGAGTTGTAAAAATTGTTCTCCTCAAACTGTTTACTGCCCATAATATTCTGTAATGCTGGCTGTGGAGTTTTTTGGTCTGAATAACAGCCATGAAGAGTGGCTGAGCAGGCAGAAAGAGAAAAAAATCCTGAAGGGGAACGTGAATCATGTCTTGTTTTACCCTGAACCTGTATGATTCTGTGAGTTTACATGTTAAGTTAAATGTTCTGTGATTAAACAACCAAGAGACAGATCTGCTGCCCCAGACACCAAATACCCTTGCTTTCAGCTGAAATTAGAATGCATGATCAGTCAAACACTGATTCAAATGTCAGGTTCAGTGAAAGATACTTTAAAAAATTCCCAATCAGGCTTGCCTATCAAAAATGAAATTTTCTAGTTCATTTGCATTAAAAAATAAGCTGCAGTTCAGTAGGAAGGGCTGTCCTTTTAACAAAGAGAAAGATATGAACTTATTGCCTCCAGAAGAGGAGTCTGACCTCTACCAGATTTTGTCCTCTTACTAATTCATCTTTCCTCATCTAGAGCTTCAGTAGCATGGTATTGGCTTCTTTGTCTTTGGATTTAATACTAACTTCTTTCTAAAATAACAAATAAATTCAAACCTGCTTAATTAGGCCTTAAGAGCAAATGATGAGCTCCCATTGGAGGGTGTCACTGTAAGAAGCATGTTTGTGTTTGTGTTAGAGCACTCAGAGTCTCACTGCTCAGGCTGGAGGAGTTTCTTGTGACAGATTATCTCTGGTGATATTTAGCAAGCAGCTCACATGCAATAAATAAAGGCCAGACACGTGTAAGACTGACTGCTTCTGGCAGCTTCATATTAAGATCCATTTTGCCAGATCTGCTTTAGATTTTGAAGTCTGTGCTCCAAGAATGGATGCAGAAATACCCGTTCTCAGCTTGTGTCTGTCGTGCTGGAAATGTTATTAAAGCAGGTGGATGCAGCTCTTGGGGACATGGGTCAGTGTGGACTTTTCAGTGTTGGGGGAATACTTGAGCTAAATGGCCTCAGAGGGCTTTTCCAATCCTTCTCAGACTCTGAAGGGGAACTGTTGTTGTCTGCTGCTTGTTTAAGTTCAGGGTGTAAAATTATTTTTAAAAATATTTTTTTTTTCTCTCTGCAGAGGCCTGACAGTTTCAAGGAGGCCTGCAGTTTACAAGTCAAATTCTCAACGGGCTCCGGGAATGAGTGCTGACACTGCTCATTCAGCACTTCTGCTGCACTCTCAGACAGCTTCACTCACAATAAATATTGCAGGCAACCTTGAGCATCCTATGAAAAATTGTCAATAGACATCCCATTTCTCTGTGCTTGCACGGAGCTGGTCTGCTTCCAGTAGTGCAGTGTTGTTGTACTGGGCTGAGGGCAGCAAACACATTTCTTTTGCATGTGACGTCAGGAATGATGCCTGTGCAGGCTCTGGCACAGAAAACCTCTCCTATTTTTCGTAGATACCTTTGTAGTTTGTTCTTTGGGTCTGCAGCTCTCCTGCTCATAGGTCTCTCAGGTGCTGCATCTTCTGGCCAGTCCTGATATAGCAGAGAATGATGAGAGGACACAGAAAATCAAAGAATGACAGAATACATGGGCTGTTTGCTGCAGCTCAGGCTCACCATCACTCCAGGAGAAAGAGCTTCTGCCAGGCTCAGGAATTTGGTGCATTACTGCACAGACCTCAAGGGAAAAAAAATCCCTTTGAATGGAGGGCAGTAAAAGTTGAAAAGCTGAAAGTGTTTTCAGCAAAACCTAGGTGATATAAGAATCTGCAAAATCAGTGTCACACTTACAGAAAATCAGAGGAAGCCAAATTCTAGTCTCTGATAATTTGCTGTTATTGTAAAATGACTCCCAGAGCAACTGAGGAAAATTTCTCTGAGTTTTCAAAGCTATCAGTAGAAATCAAACAGTTCAAATCATTAAGTAAATTTTCCTTCATTTCTGAACTTACTGGCTTTGACTAAGCTACTGCATACAAATCTGCCAGTGTAGTGTCTTGTGGGGTCTCAGCCTGGGAATTTTGATGGCCATAGAGCTTTTCCTTTTCCTGAGAGGGTTTTTGGTTAGATCCATCAAAATGGTACAGTACCTATATGGAAACCATCTCGTATAATGTGAGCTGATGCAAACTGATAATTTAAAGAACCATATTTGGCCCCAGAGCTGATGGCTTTGACAATAGGGAACCAAACTACTTTTAGTGTTTAACTTGCAGTCCCCTGGTGTATGTATTATTCCCAGTGCAGTGCAGAGTTATTTATCTAACCTAAATATTGGTTTTCTTTCCTTTGTTCTGGAAGACCCTGAATGACAAAATAGTAAAAGAGTGTTTCCAAGGAAGTATCAGTATGTCCTTGCCCTCTACCCCTGCTTCTCCCTGGATAATCTTTGATCTGACCTGGGGTTCCCACTCTATTTATAAGCAAGGTGATAATGGGAGCATTTAGCAGGGTTCAGAAATAGAGATGTGGGATTTGTGAGAGGCACTGAGGCAGGACATACCTGGGGCTGGATCCCTAAACCTTCTCTGCAAAGTCAGTTGTGACTAAAATGCTGCTCTCCAGCCTGCAGGAGTTCAGGGTGACCAGCTTCACATCTTAAACACTTGTGTGACTTTTGTTGCTTAAAATTAAGTAAGGCAAAGCCTGATTTAGCCATTGTCTGTCTTGCCTAAATTGCTGTAGGTCATGCTGAGGACTAGCCCTGTCTTTAAGGATTGTGTTGAAAAGGTTGCACAAAGTTACCTTTGGCCCTTCTTCACACAGTTACAGCTGAAACAAAGTCCATGAACACTCTGCTGCTCCACACAGCTGGGCTGCTGGCACACTAGAGCAATTTGCATACACTGATTTAACTGTTGGAAAATCTATTCACACAAAAATCTTCCTATTCTCTTAGACAATGGATCTTTCCCCCCCCTCATTGTGTTGTCAAAATCCTTTTCCCATCTGTTATTGGGGCAAAACAACCTCCTAGTCTGGATATTTCATTCACGGATAAAGCTTTTATTGGAACTTGTTTTAGGATTGGGGCAGATTTTGCTCCCAGTGAAATGAACAACAAAACTCACTGTGAGCTGAATTGAGCCTCTCCTGAAAATGGGGGGGGGGGTTTAGACAAGTTACGATGGCTGTGGACAAGGTCTTGTTGCTCTGCCCTTTCAAAAGAGAACTGTGTCTAGTTTAGGAACAATCAGAATATTTGTCTCTTTAAATGAATGGTTCTTAGAGCCTGCATTGAGAGGCAGGCTCCCTCTCTGCGGCTGTGAGGCTACTCAGAGCCTCCAATAAATCAGCATGCAGGCACTGAGAGCTCTGTCCTTGAAGGGATGCACAGTGACCTTGCTCATGCTTACTCTGGAGGAATAGGGGAAACAGAGGAGCCCAAATAGTGAGCAGTGTGGGACTGAAGGCTCTGCATTCTGCATGCAAATGCCACAGCACCGGAGCCACGGCACGGACGGCGCGCTGCTACACAGAATGCAGCTCTCCCGCTAGCCCGACCAGACTGCTGCTGCTGTGCTTCTTTTTTTATTTGTTTTTTAATTTTTTTTTTCTCCTGCAGGGTTCTGAATGAAATCCTCATGATTGTTGCATGCTTGTTCAATAATAGCAAGCCCCAGTCACGTCTCCTTGTGAGCACATTTGGTCGGAATCACTGAGCAGAAGCAGAGAAGAGCTGACGACTATGTGCTTCCAACGCAGGTTGCCGGAGCCCCGTGTTTGCCATTGGCTGCAGTTCTCTGGTTTGTGTGCAGCTTCCCCCATCTGGAATATGAAAATGGGATTGAAGTAGATAATTGCTAGCAGCGGGTTTTCAAGAGAGGCTTAGAGGGAACAGAATGCCTCTCACACAGCACAGGCTGCCTGCGCTGAGAGAGCTCTGAGAGATGATTTTAGATGTTACCCACGTCTGAATCTCCTGGAAACTTTACCATGGAAGCAAGCCACTGCGCACAGTCCTGGAGCTAACATCCAAAAGGGGCAAGGAAGGGGCAGCAGGTCCAGACAATGGGATACCTTGTCCTTGGATTGCTCACAGAAAAGCCAGCAGGCATTCCCCTCCGCTCCCCAGCAAAAAGGGCATGAAGGTGGTAATGAACTGAATTTTACCCAGCGAAGCTTCAGTGGCTTTTAAGAAGGATGGGATACACTGACCCTTCATCAAGCCGGGATTTGCTGGGAAACAGAACTTTGTTCTTCATCTTCATCTGCGCCTTTGCCGTGGTCACCTTGCTGCAGCAGATCCTCTACGGGAGAAACTATCTCAAGAGGTAAGGGAGGATCAGAGGGAATAGGAAAAGTTGTCTGATCAGACTGAGGGGAGATGGAGCCCCAGGCAAACCATTATAGCACTTCAAACCACTTCTCAGTATTTTGCTGATGATAACAATATCTTGTCAGTCTGGGAAGCTGCATCCAGCATCTGTAATGTTTGTTAGATTATGAGTGCAGGATATAGTGTTTTGTGAGTTTCCTGGATTATGTTTTAATCCTCAGCTGCGGCAAAAATATGGGTTTGTATTCAACTTAAACAGACTCGTGCCACCTGAGTATTTGCCCCTTACAAGGCTTCCCACTCTGTGTAAGTTCAAGCTGAAATGGCTCGAGAGGCTGAATTGAAGTAGCATGTTCATTGCTGAAACTTCAATGTCCTTAGAAACAAACATGCAGATGCTGCTCCTAAAATCAATATTAGTGTTCCAGATAACTGAGAGAGCACTTTATTTTTGCACTGCTGTGTTCTTATGAATTGCTGCTGAGACTGCTTCACCGTAGAGCACATCAGTCTTTGATCTGAAAATGCTCTTTTCACAGCAAACACCGATGGGGCTCTATAAATGTTTAACCTTGACCCATGCAGAGTTTATTTTACTTAAACCTAGTTTGAGAAGTTACAGCTTGCATGATTTTATGAAGATGAATGTTTCCCTTACGTGCTTTGAGGTAAGTGTTTCAGTTGTGTAGGCAGCTGCTGTGGAATTTTTTACTGGAATTAAGCTGCATTCTGCCAGGAGAGAGAAATGGTTTGGTTCTTGCCTTGCTTGCAACTCATGTAGTTGTTTGCCTTGTGCCAAGAGCAAGCAAAATGCTGGCAAATCAGCCAACATTTCTCTCTGGGAGGGAAAAGCAAGTATGATATTGATATGTTTAGACAGGGGTGTTGTTTTTCCACGAGCAATTTGTGTGCCTTGTGTAGCACAAGGCCTTGTCTGGGGGACTCAGATTTTTTTTGGGCACCTCAGCTCCAGAAAGATTTGACTTCCTCAGCTGGAAGAAACAAGAATGAGCAGAAGTGTAGAAAACATGGGTTTTTTTGGCTCGGAGAAAATGGGAGGGGAGAAAGGATAACTGACTTAAAATACTCAAAACTTAGAAGAAAAAAACCCAATAAATACCTGTCTCTGAACAATCACAAAGTGAGTGTTTAGAGAGAGTTATTTATTGTTTTTGTTGTAGCAGGAAAGATTTGGATTTAATCAAGATGGGGAACTTTTAAAGAAAATAATTACCTGAGGTATAAAATCTCCATATTTGGGGAGTTTCAGGAACCTGGTAGGTAGACAAGGGTAGTACTAAGCTTCCTCAGTGTTAAGAATATTATTTTATGGCCAGGTCAGGGTCTCATCTTGCCTTATTTTCTCAGTTTTTCCCATTTGTCCTGGAGGCCTATCAGTCCTACTAACACTTGCTTTCCAAAGTCAAAATGACTGCAACAGGGTTAGAGAGAAGAAAAATAAATCACAAGTACAAATTGAAATGAAAAATGGCAGTGTAAAGAAAAAATTATGAGAGGATGCAACCAAAAACTCTTCCACTGAGTGATCTCTGTGGCCTGCCTCTGTCCTGCCTCATGCCCTGGGAACCTCTCCTGTCATCATAAGGGAATGAAAAAAGGTTCTTGTTCAGTTCCTGGGGTTGCAAGGAGAAAATCTGGTTCTGAGCCCTCTGCCATCAAAGAGTCTCAAGTAGGAAGATAAGCATATATTTTGTCACTTGGACTGGAAAATATTACTTTTTTAAAATTTTAATTACAGCTTGTAATGATTTGTTTCTTTTACTTTTTTCTTTCTTTCTTTTTTTTTAATTAATCATGTGAAAATAGTCTCATAGAAGGCTCCCCTCACTCAGTACAGGATTAAAAAAAAGCACCTCAGCTCCTTTCTGCTGGGAATTGGCAGTTTCCATCTTCCATGGAAATAAAAATGCAAGATGTGGCTGTAAGTTTTTGGTGACAGAAAGATGATTTAAGCAGCAGCCTGCATTGTTACCACAATATTAATATGAAGGTATTTTTTTTTTTTCAGCTTTCCTTTCCCTCCCTCTCTCTTAACACCCTGCAGTACCTTCTGGTGAGCATTCCAGGGCAGTCTCATTGCCAGAGAGCTCCGTGCAGGGGCAGCTGTAACCTTTAATTACTCTTGCACTTCACAAGCCTCCGGTGTTAAGCCCCCTGCTAGAAGCTGATTCCGGCTGTGAGGCTCCTTGGACATGTTTTAACTTGTACCTGGTGGTTTTGGAGAGGCTCCTTGGAGAGGGGAAGTGGGATATTTATAGCCCTGGTGCCACTTGCCAAGCTGGAGCTTGGGGTCACTGCCTGAACCCGCGGCCATTTACTGGCTGGGATTCCACATGCTGTTTGTTTGGGATGCCTTTTGCCTGCATCCCATCACCTGCAGCAACAGCAGGCCCCATGGCCTCCTCCCAAGGCAGCAGGAAGAAATTCCCCCATGTATTTGGAGAAACCTGAAAATTGCTCTGAAGTACTATTTCAGTAAATGTACGGTGCTTTTAAGTCTAAATATAACACCAGGGTACCTCTTTTCTCTGCAAGAAGATGGTGGAAATGGGTAAAGGCCATCAAGGCAGGGAAGTGTGATCTAAAACAAGCAGCTTGGGCACAATGCAGCTGACAGCACAGACTCAGGACTGGTCCCAAAGAGCAGAGTGGAGAAAGATATCCTTTTCTGGGAGAAAAAATGGGAGAGTTTGCTGTGTGTCTGTAAGCTGTGTCATGCCACTTTCCCTTTACAAGCAGGGAATGGGCTGGTTCAATGGCCATGAAATCCCACCTGAGGCTGTCCATGGAGGTTCAGGGTCCTGCACTTGCCCACAGCCATGTTCCCAGGGAATCTGTGGTGGGGGCAGGACTGTGGACAGGAAAGGATGCTCCAGGAAATAAACTCTTCTCAGTGAAATTTGATAAGGGGCTCAGCCGCTGGTCAAAGTTCTCTCTTTCCTCTTATGGGATGTTAATGGGAACAGTGTAGAGATTGAATTTCTAGGCATTCACACATTTTTAACCCACTGTGTAATGTTCCCCACTCCTTCCTTTGCAGTTTTATGCAGTGTCATTGGAAAACAGAATCCTGTTCACCTTCTTTTTTTCCCCTTTTCAGTTTTCTCCCAGGTGGGATGGGGTGTGGGTCCTCTCACCAAGGCCAGTGCCTGATCCCTGTAGTTGCAGCTGAAGTCCTAACAGGAGAGTCAAACCACAAGCTGGAGAAATGACATCGGGAAGCTCTGGTCTCTGTAGCTTCTGATCCCAAGTAAAAGGGATGATGAAATGAGATATAATTAAGGGACTTTAATACCGATCTCTGGGGTAATTATTTTTATTTTAGGATTAATGTGATGATTAAAAATCCACTGCATTGATCTGCTAAAGTAGGTTAAATGCTGTGGTCTTCTGCTTAAATCCAGAGCTGCCGCTTGCTTTTGTATTGACTCATCTTTCCAATGCTCGCCTTTCAGCTGAATTTTCTTTTGAATCAGATGCTCAGCTGAGGGCTGGCCTTTTTTTGTCAGCTCTTGTTTGGCCAGCAGGGAATAATCCTGGATTACATCAGGAAACTGCCACTACAGTAAAAAATGGTTGAAATCTGTCTTCATCTCCCAACCTGTAGCATGGGAGAGATCAATAGGACAGTCTTTCCCTTTGGCAAGGGGAAAAATATCAGAGCAATACTTTGCTATATACCAATATTCTGTTGGCAGGAAATTCATTAAATTCTGGATGTTTTAACAGACTGACTTCTGCACAGGGAGAGTGTCACGTGAAGAAGGGAATCTGCACCTTTAAAACTCCCTTTTTTCAGCTGAATGAGGAGAACACATTTCTAAAACTATTAAAGACTCTAACCAAATATTACCCCAGGGCCTGCCAGAGGGTAAATAAAAAATTGCAAAGAATCACACAGCAAGAATCAGCAAACCTTCCCATGCAGGCAGCCTGTATGATTTGGAAGATTTATATCTTCAAAATGAGAATAAAACATCACTCTTATGTATATGTGCCTTCTTACTAATATCAGAATCTCATGACTTGAGGTAAACCCACCAGGTTGTAATATCTTAGGCAGCTTTTATTCAACAGTTGCAAATCAATTCCCAGGCATCCTTACTTCTTTCCTTACCATATAAGATTATTTGTGATCACTTTCTGCACTGCATGGACTAAAGGAATAAACCCAGAGAAAATGAACCTGAATGACACATTTAGTCTGAACCCCAAATTCATGCCATTCTTACAGCAGGGACAGCAGGATTTGCAATGGGGACATGGAAGCTACATGTGGCCCAAGTTGTATTTTGTCCTAAACTGGTTTTTTTGTCCTAACTACAGCCAGCTCAGGTCAATTGTGAGCTCCTGCTCCATCCCTGGCACATGCTCCCCATGCCAGCTCATAGCATCCTGTGAAAGTGTTAACCATAACCTAAGACCATCTATTCCTGTGTTAAAACTCTCCTTCCACTGAAATATCTTCCCCAAAAGGCGTAATCTGAAGGTCGCCTAGTGAGTCATCTCTCTCTGGTCACAGAGCTCTGTGCTTCCAGCTCTAACCAGAGGGAATTACTACTGCACAGAAATTACACGTATCCTGTGAGTCATCTGGATGAATCCCTGACAAGGTGCTGGGCAGGTCTTGGGTTTGGGAAGCTTTCTTCGGAGAAGAGTGCTGGAAAATTCAGAACACAGAAAAGTCTTCAAAAAATATAAAACACACAAAAAAAGTGTGTTTACGGCATATGGACAATCACCTTAAAGAGGCCAGATCTATCTGAGCACAGCAGGAGAAGCTGAGACTCTAACCATGCCATTCCTGCTACAGGGCATTCCCAAGACCATTTCATGCCATGCAGGCATCCCTGTTGCCAATGGGGTGGAGGGGGCAGAACCAACAGGGAGCTGGCAGATAAATTCAGCTCTCTCCAAATTTATGGGATCACAGAATCATTGAATGGTTTGGGTTGGAAGGGACCTTAAAGCTCA